TCTAAGAAATTAGATCAAAAAATTATTTCTTTTCAGCTTCTAGTGCCTACATAGTTATCTCACTCAGGAACAGCAGAAGGATGTCAGCATGACCAGTGTCCATAAATACCAACAGCAGAGTTGGTTTTCTCTATATTCTGCTCGAGAAGAGTTTGTACTAAACAGAAGAATTATTTGCTCTCCTTCCAGTTCCTGTCTTCAGTTCACACACAGGCAGACAGCCTGTGGTACTGATGATCAAATAGGAGCAATGGCATTCTGGCCCCTGATTAAAGAGCAGAGCATGGCTGTGCTGGGTCAGATGAAAGGTCCAATTAGCCCAGGATCCTCCACAAACAGCAGAAGCCGTAAGAAAAGCATATGCCTGCCCTTTTCATCCAGCAGCACTTCCCCAGGACACCTTTCCTCCTGCTATCTATAGTAAAGGCACTTCCTGAGCCAGAAATTTTATCTTTAGGATTAGCAGACCTTGAAGGCTTTTTCCTCTCTAAATTTGTTTGTGCTCTTTCTGAATCCAGGGAAACTTTTCTAACTGCAAACTACTGCGGTAACGAGTTATAAAGTTCTGTGTAAACAATGCAGGAAAAAGCCTTTTGGTTCGTTCTGAGCATGCCACCTGCTAGTTTTGTTTGATGTGTCTGAGTTCCTGAGCTAGAGGAGACATTAAGCAATTGCTGTGTATTTACTTTCTCCATACACTCATGATTCCATCGCATTCTGAATCACCCCCAAAGGCCTCACTGCAGCGATCCACAGACCACGGGTATTGGAACTCACAATCCCTACATGGTCAGGTAAGACAAAAAGCATTTTCTTGCTCTGAGTGCTCAGGGATGTGGCAGTACCGTAACACACTGAAGCAGTCAGCACTAATAAACAGCAAGAAATAATGCCAAGGCCACTGTGGGCAAGTGGAGATGCTACTCAGAGATGCTGCAGTAGGAAAACAATGTGTTGGTGTCAGCTGAGAGGTGCTGCTCAGGAGCACGGAACTGACCAGGGATTTCCAGCTTCAGGCAGGTCCCAAAACACTGAGCTCACAACAGAGGGATCCAGGAGCTCTTCCAGATACATGCCTGGGGAAGACTTGGGGCTACTGCTGCCCCTGGTTTTCCCTGGCCCCACTGAGGTTGCTGCATAGTGCGATGGGCTCTGCACAGCAGCAGCAGCAGCACGCCGAGCACACCCGGCTGCCCCGGTGCTCCCTGGTCTGTAACTCTGGCACACAAAGGAAACAAGTGCAGCTCCCCCTGCTCCAGAGCCCACCTAACCCCGGAACAGCAGGAAGCAGCTGCCGAGAGGAGCTCTCAGGAAGAAGGAAGGCTGAGAAGAGGGCTGTGAGAACACGCAACATGAGATGAGAAGACACAGCCTTTGGGGAAAAGCAACAGCTCCAATTCCCTCCAGGGCACTCTGGGCCCTGCTGGGACTGGGCCACCACTTCAAAAACAGATTCTGATCCTGCATCCATCAGTGGCAACCTCCCAGCCTCTACAGGAGTTCAGGACTAAGCCCCTGACGCTTATGAACATCACAGGTGCACTCACACGACGGCAGGATTTTGAACACTTGCCATGACCTCCAGTTTGTCCAGTAGAGGAAATGTTGATCAGTAAATGCCAGGACACAATTCCCAGGCAGGAAAACCTAAGGAATAAGGGGGGTGTACAGCAGCACCCTTTCTTTTCCCCAGCCTGGCAGCAGCAGTGGATACAAGCCGTGCACACCACGCTCCTGAGATCCACTCCCTGCTCTGACGCTGCAGCTGCACACATCCCCAAAGGCTGTGCTAATGACCTGGCAGACAGACGTGTCCCAAATGACTCTGCAGAATGCCTGGAGCCCTGAAAGAAGACACTATCTTGTTTACATTGACTGAGGGGGGAAAAAATGCCATCTAATTATTACATAAATTCTGGCTGTAGCAGCTTCATGACTAGTTGAAAAGAGGTAACAGGCTCCAAAATGACTGATGGACCCAAGTGTTTGGATCCACCAGCTTATCAATCTAATGCTAAGGAAGATCTTTCATATCCCTGTGTCTATCACTTTAACCTACTCATGATGGGCAGAGAGAATAATCTCTGCTCTTTGCCTGTAAAATTGATTCATGTACTGTGACTTTTTTTTTCACTCTATGCTATGATGAAAATGGAGAAACAAAACCCTGAACAACCAACAAAACACATGCCACAAAAAAGCAGTATACTATAAAGACAAATTCACAATAACGTGAATTTGCAAAATATCTGCATAAGTCACAAAATGTAATTTGGAGGAGAATGCAATTCAAAAGGCACAATTACAATTCACACAGCAGCTTTAAACTGCATTCCTGCAGCAAACCAGCCTTGGCACCAGGAGCTTCTGTGCAGGTTACATGGGTAAACACAGCCACTATGCCACTGTGGATACAAATTAGCCAACCTAGGGTAGTGCTGATATTCTAACTTCAATCCCATCTTTAGATTCTGGTGCTACATCACGGCTGAATCTGGCACTAACCCTGGGATTACGTATCAGCAGATCAGTATAAAAATAATTTGTTCTGAGTTCACAGTTTTATGAAATGATAAAACATCAAAATTAGCATTCTGGCTGAAATCCACTGCATTTCCCATCAAGGCTTACACATTTAAGCAACATCTGAACCAACTGCCTATAATTACTCCTGGCAGATACTGGAGCACTTAGGCCAGCAGTAGATGCAACAGTGAAATAAATTTTTAAAGACATGCTGCAAACCACTTCAAGATGCTCAGCCCAGAAGCAAACATGTGTCCATGAGCTCAATACATGGTTTATTTTACAAGATTTGCTCACTCTTGCATAGTAAAAGCCTGAGAAGAATGACAGCCCCAAGTAATCTGTCAGTTCAAAATTAAACATTTATTTGGGCTGCAATTTCAAAAACACTCGCCCCGAAGTTCCTGTCACAACTACTTAAGAGGAAGTGGGGTTGCATATTAACTTAGGTTAAAAGAAACACTAATTCTGCACAAAACCAGTTATTTATTTATTCAAAAGAACCAACATTTTAAAATGATAATTTAACTGAGAAACACAGAATGAAGTAACAGAAGTGGCTGAGAATACACATAAAAACTTCCTAGCATAGAACTAGTTTATTTAGTCTCTCCTGACACTATAAATTTATTTCTGCCACGATTCTTTTTGCTGGGAAGAGCTGTCCCTACAAGCAACCAATTCTCTCTGCATTCATCCTCCTATCCCAGACACCCTTTCCAGGAAAAAAGAAGTGCCTCTTTTTTTCCAAATACTCATACACATTCCTGAAGGAAAGGGACCATTAACATTACAGAGCCTTTAAAATTTCCTTGCTTTTGTATTGTATCTAAGTACACTTAAAAAAAAGTTAACCTCAACTACTTAAGCAAATGTTCTTCCAGGATAAGAAAATAGAATGAAATGTACGAGAATGAAATACACGAGAGTAAAATACAAGGGAATGAAATACACGAGAATGAAATATACAAGAATTAAATACACGAGAATGAAATACACGAGAATGAAATACAAGACCACCTTCCCAGCAATGTGTCTGCTTATTACTTTCTAAAAACCTCCGAGATGACCGAGCCCTTTCCTCTACTTCCCTGGAATTTGTTTCGTAAGTGCTCTCCAGAGAAGAGCACTGGTGCTAAGTTTATTAAACTTCCTAACAAATCCCAGGCACCTCAGCAGGGAAGGAATCTGCCAAGTTACCAGCTCCTCACCGGGGCAGAGCCTGGCACCAGTGAGGAACACGGCCGTGTTGGCAGCTCCGGAGCCAAGCACGAGTAAATTCCAGCAGGTTCCTGGGGGGTGCTCTGTGCCAGCCCAGGAGCTGCTTGGGATCACAGGGGCATGACAAGGAGACAAGGCTGTGAAGGTGCCAGAAAAGGGGACCTGCGTGAGGACAAGAGAGGCTGTGGTGGCAGCAGGACACCAGGGCCAGAGAGACGAGAATGGAGACTGTATTTATGGAATTTCCTGGGGATATGGAGGATTAGATAAGTGTGTGGGTGCTGTGCATGTCCCACCTGCCCCAGGTCAGGTCACCTGAGCGCTGCCCTTTCACAGAATCACAGAAAAAGCTGAGCTGGGAAAGGATACTCGAGGATCATTGAGTCCAAGTCCTGGACCTGCACAGAACCCCAGAAATCACACCATGTGCCTGAGAGCACGGTCCAAATATCCCCTTGAGCTCTGGAAGGTTTGGTTCTGTGACCCTTGCAGGGCAGCCTGTTCCAGCACCCGACCACCCTTCGGGGGAAAATCTTTTTCTACTATCCAACCTCAACCTCCCCTGACAGAGGTTCAGGCCATTCCCTCGCACCCTGTCCCTCGGCATCATGAAGAATCAGCGTGTGCCTCTCCTTTTTCCCTCACCAGGAAGCTGCATTTGAAGCACATGGGAAGGCGGCAGGGATAAAGGTGATCCAAGAGCACAGGAGGCACCGGGAGGATCCGTGTGCCCGCCCGGGGCAGCACCAAACGCCTCGCCTGGCACAGGGCACCGCGGTGCGGGCTGTGAAGGGCAGCCCCGCTCCCACTGAACCACAGCGGGAGTTACACACGGCCGTGCTCTACAGAAACGTCAGGAGACAACTCGGGGCAGCCAGAAGGACGTAAATCCCACCGGCTGTAGGAAAAGCAGGCTCTGAGCCGATGCGGGGCGATGCGAGCCCTCAGCCCACGCACGGCCGGGGCGCGCCGCACGGGGCCCGCGGCTGCGGCCAGCGGCTCCCCGGGGAAGGAGGCGGCGCTGGTGATTAAACAACAACACGAACGCCAGACCTCCTTTCAGAGCAGCACGATCCGAGCCCTGACGGAGGAGGACGGAACCCTCCGGGCGGAGAAGGGGCAGGAACGGGGGCAGGAACAAGGGCAGGGAGAGGGGCGGGAGCCGCGCTGAGGCAGCGCGCGCCGCGCTCCCCCCGCGGGCGGCCGCGCTGAGGGCTGGGGGCCGCCGTGGCCTGGCCAGCGCCGTCACTTACTCTGCAGCCATCGCTTACTTGTGCCCCGGCACACCCCGGCGGGGACGTCCCCTGAGCCCGCCGCTGCCGGGAAAGCCGCCGGGCTTCCCCCGTGCCGGGCCGGCCGCGCCTGCGCCGGGAAGGGGCGGGCGGGGAAGCAGCGGCGGCGCCGGGCGCTGAGGGCAGCGGCGGCTCCCTGAGGGCAGCGGCGGCTCCCTGAGGGCAGCGCCCTTCGCCCGGGGCTGAACCGGGAGCTCGGCGCGGGTTGGTAAACCCATGATAAATCTGGTTTTCTGGTTTTCCAGCCCTGCTGCCCCGTACACGGCTGCGAAGTATCGGGGGTCGGAGAAGCGGTGCAAGAAGCCACGTGGAGACCGCTGAGAAGAACTTATACAGTACAGAAGAATAAATACATAAAAACATACAGGCCAATAACTATGTAGAAACATATAGAAGAATAAATAAACAGGAGGGAATGTCAGGGCTCAGGACATCCCTGACCTTCCTTAAGTGTACTCATTCTGACCCTCTTTAAGTGTAATGTAAATGCTTCTTAAATGAGTAAAACGGGGCTGCAAGCCATGAGTTTGATTTTCTGCGTGGGGTCGCTCTAAGAGTTTTACCTGAAAAGCTGGAGAATTGCTGATGTGAGGAAGAAAACCCTGGGTTTAATTAAGGTTTTCTTAAAACGGATAGAGGATGGGGCAGCAGGATGCCCTCAAATGCATCCCTGGGAAACAGAGAAATCACAGAATCGATGAGGTTGGAAAAGACCTCTCAGGTCGTCGAGTCCAACCCATGGGCCAGCCGTGGCTGAGCACTCCATGGTTTGGGACCAGATCCCACCACAGCCCTGCGTGACCCTCCTCAGCCCACGCGGGGAGGAGCAGCCCTCACATTCCCATCACATCCAAACACTTCTGGCCCCAGGGAGCCACCAGGGATTTTTCCCGTTACCCCCCCAAACATTCTACAACAGGAAATCTTGCAGAAAAAAAAAAAAAAAAGTTCTCTTGCAACATTTCCAGAGTATTCCCACTTCGGCCCGAGCAGAAATGCTGCAGGAACAACCTTGCTCAGGGAAAGATGAGTGTTTGTCTCGTGGTTAGAGCACAGGGTTCGTGGTCAGGAGCTGTGGGTTCTCATTCCAGCCTTGCCACTGAATCATTTTGAGAGCTTTGCTAGTCACTTTGTACTAGAACCAGTTAGGAATTTTCCGTTGGGATGATTTTCTGATGGAAAACACTGCTTATACCAAACTGAAATCTGGGTGAAAATTGATTTGTCCATTGGGAATACCTTGTGTCTGGGCTGGCTTAGAAAGGACATTTGACCCAAACTGCAGTGTTTGGGGGTTTCTTTATTAGTCCAAATGCTTTGGTTTGAATAGATAGGTTAAAAAAATAAAATACCCCCTCCTGACTGTAATTCCAAGTCATCTTACAGCATGGTGTGAATGTGTGCCCTCATGCTCTGCCTTGCTCCCCAGGAGGTCTGCGGTGTAGTGAGATTTAAATTTCTGTTTTCTGAGATGTGCACATCCCAATCTGAGTCAGACCTGGCCCGTGGGGACAAATCCCAGCTCAGGGCCACCACTCTGGCCAGGGAAGCGCTCCATGCAGGGAAAGTGTAAAGTTCAGAGACACAAACGAGCTGTTTCACATTAGCTCAGTGGCCTAAAACAAGGCACCGTGACTGGGGAGATACCCAAATGTTTTGTTCAACTGAAAAGCACTAAAATGAAGCCCAGAGAAATGGACCTGATTCTGTTCCAGAATCCCATTCCTCCGTTCATTAAAAACAAATTTATTTCTGCCCTCCCTATTGTCATACACTGACAGTTTCTTTTAGTATAATACTTGTTCTCCTCCCACAATGTATTTGTAGACACCATTGAAGTCCCTTATTTGTTTTGCCAAGTTAAATATTAATCATTTATTTTCTCTCATAACAGCAAGTTGTGGATTATCTAATAGTTTTTCCTTCACTTCTTTCAGTCAGAATTCATCTTTTCTGAGCGTGAGTGATCAGAGTCTGACATACTGTGTAATGTTTAAATGATGGCTTGCAAGAGACTTGTACAGTGGCAATAATGATTCCCCCCTGCACTCTTTTAGTCAGACAGGCATCAAATCTGCCCTTTTTACACCTATATCACATTAGCACCTCAATTTACCCAGGTCTTTTTGCTCCAATAAATAACAAAAATAAGTACAGACAAATTTATTAACTTTTGCTTAATACATTTTCCATTTCATCTCACTTCTCTAGTACTCACATGGTTTCTTTCCAAGTGAGTGACAAAGGAAGATATTTTCAAGAACAATTATAAGTTTACAACTTCCAAAATGAAAGACCTGAAAATGCTTTTTATTAAAGAATCCAACTTTGGATTATCACATATTCCCAAGCCCACCTGAGGCTTAATTCATTGCTCATTTGAAATATTCTGAAAGCTGAGGGTTAAGAGGTGTTATATTAGTGCAGAATAATGATGATTAATTTGTGCTTTGTATCAAATGCAGAAGGAGCAGATACATGTGCAGTGAATCCTCTATAATTCCAAAATCCTTCTATAAACTTGAAAATATTCTGTGGATCTTGACGTGGATGTACATGCCTTAAATGGAACTCGACCAATTTTTCCTGTTTAGCGTGTGGCTGTTGTAGTTTTCCTTCAAATAACCCCTCCTTCTTCCAAGATTCTGGACAGATTCACTTAAAATACACCCTTTTGCCTTTTCATTACAGAGTAACTAATGAAAATTCCATTTTAAATGTGCTTTCTGGGAGACAGGGATGTTCTTTTTTTTCGTGATTAACCAGAGCCCGTATTTCAAGCAGCAGGGAAACAGCTCCAGGTAGTGTAAATCAGCATTGCCCGAGATGGCCCTGAGTCCTCTCAACCCCACAGAACAATTTAGTGGGTTTAGATGACAGTTGGCATCTTTGAAATATTCTCTTTTGCAGAACTAGACTAGATGTGACACTTGCTGGAGAAGAAATCTTGCATAAATCTGTCGAAAAAGACTCAATCATATTACTTCACTAGCTGTGGTAACCTTTGGAGGCCAAAGTCCAGACAGGTTGAGAAATGGAGCATGAGTCCATAAAGGTGACAATTCCATTAACTGCAATCAGAGAGAGAGGTGAATGGTGAGATAAAGACAAATGACTCCTTCTGTAAAGAAAAGAAAATATGTGTGTGCAGGGGAAAGAGGCAGAATGAACATTTTCCAGCCTTGTCAAGGAAATAAAGACCCAGCCCTGCTCTGTTGAGATCAAAACAAAAATGTCTCTTGAGCTCAGTGGATGCAAGTTTTGCCCCAACTTCTGGTGAATCTCAAGCAGCAATGGACCTCTGAACACCCCAAAATTACATTTAGATGTTTATTAGCATAAAAATAGAAGGGAAAAAGCATTTAATAAAGTTCCTGCTTGTGTGTGTGCTTAGGCAGTTCATACAAGCACATGAGGGTGGGTTTTAATCTCATTTGATGAAGTGTAGCACTTCTTCAAGTGTAATAGGAAGTAGAAGCTGGGGAATACTCTGGATGAATGCTTACTGGGCCATTAGACCAGGACTATTCATCTAAACAGGGAAATGGGGAAGTAATAACCAAATGAATTCTCTGCAACAAGAAGGGATTTTTGAGTGTACAATAGGAAAAAAAGGAAATTTCCTTTGGGGGATTTTTTCTGGTTTTAACAGAAATATTAAGTTACTCTTGGATACTGGAGTGGCCAAAAAGGGAAATCCCTGTTTTAAGTTCCTCTAAATGTAGCCAGAAAAATAATTCCAATTTTATCAATTTGTGGCCCATTTCCTCACGTTTTGGGCAGCTCACCTTCTAATACCAAAGTGAGAAGCTGATACAAACAAGCAGACAATATTTCAGGCTCCACCAAAATTCCAGTGTCTTGCCCAGGGCCTGTTCCTGCCTGCCCACTTGGCTGGACACCAATATCCTTTATTCTCAGGGGAGTCAGCCTTCCAAAAAACCACTTGGCACTGGAGCCAGGGCTGCTCTGTTTTCCTAACGTTCGTGGCAGGCAGGATGTTTTCCGACTCTGGTACCCAACAGTTGAGCATTCCAGACAGCACAGGGATTTTTCTTTTGAAACCACACTTCCAATGCCATAGGAATAAGGGAGGTTCTGTGATCCCGTGTGATCCTGGTGGGAAAATAGGATGACTTTGCTGTCACACAGCGATGCACAAAGGGAAAATGCACATGGGTCTTGCCACCTTTGTAAACTCTCCTTCTGTGGTGTGAATGCTGAAAAAATCCTGGCTTAAAGTCCTGTTTCATCAACTGGCTCCCCTCTAGGAAGATTGCCAGAAGGAGAAGACCCCCTCCCAAAATGCCTGGCCAGAAAAGCAGCCCACTGGTGCAGTGTGGCAGAGGGACTGCTCAGTAGTCTGTGCACACAGTGTTTTCAGCAAGTGAAAATGTTGTTTGCTCCCCAGAACACACAGTACAGATACCCCTACAACTTTTTTTGCCTATCCCTTACACTACTTGAATTTTAGAGACATGACTTTATCATTAACATTTTTATTCAAGTGATTCCTGAGCTCACTGATGTCAGGGCCAGCTCCAGCTGTGCAGCCTTTCCCTTGTGGAACAGAGAGTGCCCAGGGCAGGGCAGGCAGGGGACAGCTCAGCCAGGACAGGACTCCTCACTGGCCAGGAGCAAACACACTGTCCTGGGAGGCAAACTGCCAGAGACATCCCCCCCACAGCCCTGTGCCAAAATCCAGATGTGCAAAATCATGAAATCACAATCTGTCAAGCTGGAAATGAATTTCACAAGCCAAGCTGTGAAAATCTCCTCAAATTTCACAATACCTTACATCTCCAGAAAAATGGTGAACAGAGGTTAAATATTTTTTTCTGCAACATCCTTCCAAGACTTTTTCCATAGGATATGACCAGCTTGCATGAAGTGCTTTGTTACAGTGGTGATATATCACACAGTGGTGCCAAATCCAGTCGGTGTGGGGAGGATTGAAAAGGCTCAGCCACCCTCCAGACAGTGTGTCCTGATGCCATTCCTGGCACCTTCTACAAAAGGCAGATCCTATTTTGCCCTTGGAATTCCAAAACTGGTGAACACAGTCATGGGAGGCAATCAGTCAGGATCTGTTAATTTGTAAAAAAATATAACTGTCTGTTCTCCAAGGGTAAGATTAACTGGGATCTGTACTTCCCAGATTATAAACAACACGCAGCCTTTCTCCTTAACTCGTTGCAAAATGTACAAATGTTCCAACGCCAGCTCTGTAATCTTTTAAAATCTTAAACAGAACAGGGGCTCATTCCATTACATAAAAAGAAGTTTGTAGGATCATGTAGCTACCTGCAAATCACACACAGATAAAGCAAACAGCACAAGAAACAGGGATAAAGTCACCTTTTATGTAGCTGGTTCCTATAGCAGTGAGATTGTCATGCTCTGTATACAACCCAAAACAAATTGTCTGTT